ATACTATCAACGGAACATTTTATAATATTGTATTTGTTACATGGTTTTGAACTGTATACTAAACATAGGTTGTGCTTTATTGATGACTTGGGGTCAGCCTCTTATTTAGGATTGCCAGATAAAATAAAGGACATCCAGTAAAATTTGGAGTTTAGATCAGCATAGGCTGGTTTGGGACAACTGTACTAACTGATTTGGGACAACTGTACTAACAAATTATTCCTTGTTTACCTAAAATTCTAATTTAACTGGGTATCTTACACTTTTATTTGTTAAAGCTGGCAATCCTATCATTGTTATAAGATGCTGTAATAATACAGTAATGCCTCAGGTGCATTGGGCTGATTGTCTTGATATTTTTAAGGCTCAAGGCTGTTGTGCTTTTTGAATTTTGTAGTTATTTTTTAGTCTTTTTCTTTACTATGCATTGATTATATTGCTTGTTGTAGTCAGTGGATAGCATCCTCGCTTCTCATTCCCCTTTCCTTCTACTACTTTATTGTTCTAATTGGTGTGGGCTGAGAAAGAAGATCCCAAACATAGTTGACTTTTCTATAATGTAAGAATGACTAGTTTCTGAGAAAGGATATAGATACTTAAAGATACATACTTGAGAGAAGTATGCAAATTTTAAAATAAGAACTTCATAAAAAGTTATTTTTACTGCCCAGAGATCATCTTATAGTTTCTTTCAAAGTCCCTCAGGATTTTGGATGATGTTCCTGAAAATCTTTAGGAAGAGTCAGACATATACTGATTTGGCTTGAGGAATCATAGTAATCGTGCCTTGAGTCCGGGGATTAAACTAGATGACCTTTTGAAATCACTCACAGATATGTAATTTTGATTACTTTATTACCTATCCAATCAACTCAAAATAATGACCACATCCAAAATAATGAAATCAAAGTAAAATTACCCAGCATCATATCTGCAATGAAAAATAATATGTATTCCAATTATGGTGCTTAGAAGAGGTTCTGGCCAGGCTGCAAAATCTTCTGTGGAAGGAATTACAATGTCTAGTCCTCCCTGCTGCACTCATTTACGCAGTGATTAAACAATTTCTTTGTCCCTGGGCAATGCTTGTTCTGAATATAGATTTGAAGCCACTCCTGAACTGGAACTGCTGTTCCTAATGCTAAGCCTACCATTAGTCAAACTCAGCATGCAATGTCAGCAAACACCTCTCCACACCTTACATGTTTGCATTTATCTTTATTTGACGTCAGAACAATAGTTTGGAAATAATTTATGGTGCGAAGAGGATCTTCAGGCTCAGGATGATGAAATTTTGTGTCATCCAGCTATGTCTACTTTTACAGGCTGTAAAGAATGACTCATCTGAATCAGATCCTAGGGAATATTTTGGGAGGTGTTAGAGATGTCGAGGGCCAAGCAAAGACCAGCATTTTGGTATAGCAGTTTGATTCTTTCCAGAGGCTTCTGATATTGTTCAAACTGGAAAATGCTTGCTTGATTGTTCTAAATATTTCAAACTATTCTAAATATTTCAAGCCTTTAAAGTTTGTTTTATGCCTTTTACTCACAACAAGAGCCATTCTGGTCTGTGTAGGTCACTGGAGCCCTTAGCTGTACTATATATTTAGATTCATGTGACCTGAATCAACTTATTAATGTATTAAATATAGTTTTCTTTTTTTCTTGATCAACAAAATAAAAATTCACTGCTAAATAATGTTAAGACTTATGGGCTTTTGAGTTTATTTTTATTTTGGTCTAAGAAATATTTCCTTAGTTGTTTTTTTTTGTGTGTGTGTTTTTTTTCTTCAACAGCTTTCTTCTACCTTAACATGGTTGCTATATTATTTTATTTTTTTAATTATATTTTATTGCTTTTTTACAGAGAGAAAGGGAAAGAGATAGTCAGAAACATCAATGAGAGAGAAACATCAATCAGCTGCCTCTTGCACACTCCCTACTGTGGATGCGCCTGCAACCAAGGTACTTGCCCTTGACTGGAATTGAACCCAGAACCCCTCAGTCCGCAGGCCAACACTATCCAGTGAGCCAAACCGGTCAGGGTATAATATTTTAGTAGATATTTATCTTAAAGGACAAGGATAATGTGGTCTACTAGGATAGGGTGAATAAAACCTATTTAAGAAATACTCAACTTCAACTGTTGAATTTTACAAGGTACTATACTATAGGCAAGGAATTAAATAGTACAGTGGTGGGAGAGCAGATTCACGAACAGTTATATGACAATGCGGTGAGGGTAATGATGAAGATGCAGAGAGGCGTCTCTTTCTCCATGAAGCTATATAACAAATTCATCCAGAAGTGTTGAGGGAAGGCCTCCTATAGGAGTTAGCCTAGGTTGAGTCTTAAAGGTGAGTAGTCAGGCAAAAAGTTTGAGCAGAAAGCCTGAGCAAAGACACAGAAGTGAATAGAGAAAGGTCCCCCTGGTTTCTCTCAGCTCCTTAGTCAATAGTAAAAGGGGAGGCTGCCCCAGCCCTGTCACTGTTTAGTCATAACAGAGAGGCCTGTGTAGATATGCTGTGCAGTGGTGGTCACAGTGGCAGCTATTATGACTAAAATGTTAAGTTGACTAGCTATCCCCTACCACCTTTACATAGAACTCTTTTAATTTTCCAGGCAGTCCAGTGTAGTTCAAATAGCCACAACCCCCTGCATTAGTTTGCTAGGACTGCTGTAATAAAGCACCATGCCTGGATGGCTTAAGCAACGGAAGTTTATTGTCTCACAGTTCCAGAGACTAGAACTCTGAGATCAAGGTATCAGCAGGGTTGGCTCCTTCTGTGGACTGTGAGGAGGATCTGTTCCAGGCCTCTCTCTTAGCTTTTGTTGGTTTGCTGGCATCTCTGGCTTTCCTTGGCTGTGGACACCACCTACATTTCTATTTGCCTTCATAGTCACACGTGTTCTGCCTGTGTCCAGATTTCCCCTTTTTATAAGAATACCAGTTTTACTGGATTCCCAGTAACACCTCATTTTAATTAATTACATCTGTAATTACCCTATTTTCACATTCTGAGATACCTGGAGTTAGGATTTCCACAAATTAAATTTAAGGTGACAATTCAACTCATAACACTCCCTTTCCAATATAAGTTCTATAATTTAAGGTCAAATCTTAATTTCAGAAAACATTTACCAGGAATATAAATGTTTTGTTACTTGTTTTCCGTGGGTTAACTTTCTTACTCTTAAAAATAAAATATGTTAATTTTACCTTATCATAGATTTCATAAAGTGTTTGAAATTTAGTAGAAACTTACCTATATTGGTGTTGTTTCATTAAGTGCTGATCTTTTTCAAAAGACATTTTCAGTGTAATATCAGATAGTCTATTAAGATATTTATATTCTATAAAACAAGAATATATTGTATAAAGAATAATAGACAAAACAATACAAAATATATTTTAGTTACTGAATAAATGACAGGAATAAATAAGTCCTGCAAGCCAGTATGTGATATATATGATTATTTGACAAGATGGCATTCACATAGATAACTAGTTTTGTATTGGACTGATAATTTACATAGGCAAAGGACTAGTGACAGTTTGTTTTCTCATAAATCACTTTTTTATTAATGCTGTATTTTCCGATTAAAAGTACAACTTACAGGAAAAAAATGTTTTCTCTGCTTATGAAATGGGCTCAACATCTACTCCTTAGTGTATTTTACTTCTTTACCTTTCACAGTGTATACACCAATATTCAAGAGAGATAACAGAATTTCCAATATCATTCACTTTTTAATCCAAAGCAAAACAATTTGGTTCTGTATGTTATTCAAATTCTATTCATTTACAGGGTAAAACTAGCTTAGCAGAATTACTAAGTGGACGCAAAGTAACTACTTGGGAAAGGCAAAGCATCTAGTTCAATCAAAGATCCTATAATCTGATACTATTACTGTTCTCTCTTGCAGTTCTACAAGCTTATTTCATAGCCCCTCAAGGTGACAGGTTTTATTTTTGGCACTCCTATTATCGAAATTAACCTGTCTTGAGGGCTGTTGTTTCTTATTTCCCGGTTGTTAAATAACTGTGGAATTGGTATCAGGACAACGAAATTTGAAAGGTCTTTAAGCCTGCTTTCCCTTACCGGTAAGTTTTCCGGTCCCCCAGTTTCTCAAAGCCTTTTCTTTTTTTCTTTTGCTGAGTTTTTACACTCAAAACTGTGTACAGGGGGATTTAAATTCCAACCCGGAACTCGGAATCACGCGCCTTGAATGACGGGAGTCGTAGTTCGTGCGACCCCTTCCTAACCCCTTCTCTCGACGATTCCTGCCCACAGCGAAAACCTACAACTCCCAGAATGCACCCCCGGGGTGTCCGCCCCTGAGCGCACGCGCCCTGACGCCGCAGGATTTGAATCGGCGGCGTTGTTATTGACGCCATATTGGGGCCGGTGGCGGGTGGAAAAGAGTCGTACGGCGGAGGGGGAAGTGACTGGACGTATTTGCCAGAGCTCCTGACGCCGCCGCCGCCGCCGCCGCCGCCGCTTTTGCAATCTCTCCTCATCGACCGCCGGTCTCAAGCTTGGGACCTCTCCTCAGTCCTTTTAGGAGCCACCTTCCAGCCTCCCACCTCGCGGGGCCGGTATCGACCGCCGAAGGGAGCCGGTTTCGGTGCAGGAGCGCCTCCGGAGCGGCGCGCAGCTCGAGAGCGGACGGCGGGGGCGCCCGGAGCCACCTCTCCCGGGGGGATCCGCGCCTGAGGAGGCGGAAGAGCCCCCCCCTGACGCGGCTGGCGTGAGCCGGCGACACCGCCCCTCCCTCCCTCCCTCGCCGCGCCGGCCCGGGCCCCTGCCGCGGAGGCGGCGGCCTCCCCTCCCGCCGGCGCTTCCCGCACGCCTTCCTGCTTCTTGAGCCCGTGGGTCAGCCGCTCTTCGAGTCCCCGTTCTCTTCTCCCCCCTTCCCTCTCCTTCCCCTCCCGTCCTCTCTTCCCCACCCTCAACCCCACCCGAAGCCCGGCACTTGGCACTTGGGCGGCTCCGGCCATGGCGTGCGGGGCCACTCTGAAAAGGACTCTGGATTTCGACCCGCTGCTGAGCCCGGCGTCCCCGAAGCGGCGGCGATGTGCGCCATTGTCGGCGCCCACCTCGGCCGCCGCCTGCCCGGCGTCTGCGGCCGCGGCCACCGCCGCCTGCTTCTCGGCCGCCGCCGCGTCGCCGCAGAAGTACCTCCGGATGGAGCCGTCCCCCTTCGGCGACGTCTCGTCCCGCCTCACCACAGGTGGGCCTCGGCCCCGGGGGGGGTGGGGGGCGCTGGGCCGCTTCTGGGCAAAGTAGTCGGGCGACCCCGTGTCTCGAACTTGTCCGGCTCCGGAGACACACAATAGACAGACGCGGCCTGGGGTGCGGGGCGGGGAGGGGGCGCCGGGACGCGGGGCGGGTGAGTAGGGGCTGTGTATTGTGCGGGGAGGAGGAGGCAGGCCCTTTTTAATTTTATTTTATTTTATTTGGGGCGAAGGACTGGGATGGGAGTGTTTCCCGTCGTCTGGAGTAGCCCCCGCGGGAAGGATCCGAGGGGGGCGATCTTATTGATACACGCAGGCTGAGGAAGGGTCACGTTTCACGCCACCCTCCTCGACTTATCTCCCCGGATCGACGGGCCGCGGCTCTGCCCTCTGTGGGGCCCGGCGGTTCCGGGCGGGGAAGGCCGCCCCTCCTCCGGCGCAGACATGGCCGGTGTGAGCGCCGAGGGGGTGGGGATGGCTGTCATTGGGGCGAGATCTAGGCCTGTCATTAATCACCCACGAGAACGCCACTTTGGCTGAGTCAAGACCTGTTTTCCTAGCAGGGTCAACAACAAAGAAAAGGCTCTTCCCGAGTCCTGTAACAGGATCGCACTGCACTCCGAGACCTTGAGCAGCTCGAACTTTTTTTTTTTTTTTTTTTTTTTTAAACGAAGAGCAAATTGTATCCAAAATTGGGACCGGTTAGTCGCTTTGAGTAGGAAGTGCTTTATCTTTGCCCAGCGAAGTACGTTGGGAGGAAGCCTTAGGCCTTGAGAAGAATCAAGAAATTAACCCCAAGACTCCAAGGGACTTCAGGCTATTTTTGCTTTTCATCTAGAGACATTTCCTCAAAGTGACTATAGAGGGAAATGCCCCTTGGCTGCTTGGTGTACCGCATGTGTGTGCCATTTTTTACGTACTTTTAAAAACCCTTGTGTGCCCCCTGGCACAGTCCTAGGATAAGCTTTTATGGACTGATAGTGTAAATCTGTTTCCTTTGTGTGTGAGCCTTTGGTAATAATGTGACCTGTAGACAAAGCCTTTTAATAGCTTGATTAGATGTTTCGCTTATCTTGAGCTTTAAAAAAAAACAACAAAAAACCTGTGGGTAGTATATGCCACCATGTTTAGTTACTTCCATTTGGAATTGACTTAGTTTAGTTATATCTTTTTCAGGCCAGATTTTTAAATATCCTTTTCTAAATAATATGGGGCTTCCTTTTTTTCTATTAAATATTTTATCTAACTTAAGTATATACTATTGTATAGTTGTAGTGAATTTTCAGAGAATTTCCACTTTTATTTAGTGACCACACCTAAGCTATCTTCTTTGTAAAGGCATTTATTGGTTTATTGTTAGGCTTTACATTTAAAAAGAAACAAGAATGGGCTCCTAGTGCTGAACATTATTTTTAGAGTTTGACTCTTCAGTAAAATCGTTGTAAATCGAAATGATACCCTGGACCCTATACTTAACTAATTAGGCCACTTAAAAATAGCTCCAGCTAACCAGCAATGAATTTTAGTCCGCAGGGTGAATTAATGCAGTGTTAGGTTTGGGAGTTAAAGTATATCTTAATGCTGAGATGGTCTTGAGCACATATATGGTAAACCCGCCAGGAATTACAACATTTGTCCTCACTTTAAAAGGAACTAACTCAGAAAGAATTTTGATCTTTGGCAAATTTGCTATTTCATTGATATATTTGTACTATTGGCTAATGCATTTGTTTCACATTATCTCAAGTTTCAATTAAGTGGATAGTAAGAAGATTGAAATTGCTTAAGCCTGCTGATTCAAGTACATTTTCCAAAATACTGCTGTTTTCTGTTCTTCAAGGTGTTTTTGACATCTGCTGAAGTTAATCATAACCTGAACTGTAAAATCACACCATAATTGAATTTTGTTGAGTTTGCCTAATAGTTATTTAGCTATTACAACCAATCTGAATATTAACATAAAAAGTTGCCTTGAAAACAGCTAAAATCGCTCAAGTTTTGGATTGCTAAAATTTGCTTTTTCTAATTTTGAGTAACATTTTACATGTAATTTGGCCTTGTGTGTTTTCATGGCCGGTTTGGGGTATGCTCTTGTGTGGATTTTGTAATAATGGTGTCATAATGGGAGCTGCAGTGTTGTGCAGATATCAAAGAACTTCCCAGGTTTGTCATCACCAAACTTGAAAATAACTTTCCAACCACCTAATATTTAGATTTCTTTTTTTAATAGTGGTGATTCTTAAGCTTCAAAAAAGTGAATATCCATATATCCTTAGCTGAAATTAAGTAACTAGGATTGGAAACCAAATTGAGATTGGGACTCTGAAGAAACTCTTTGTTTTCCTTTCATTTCTGTAAATTCAAATGTATTTAAACAATTCAGAACATTTATATAATTAATCATAATCATTGTTCTTCTCTGGCTACTTAATGTCTTCTGATGTGTAGCTGATGTCATGTTGTGGCTTTACTAGTAGTTTCAGAAAAGTGGACATCTGTTTTAAATCCTAGTTTATTTTACTTACCCCAGGAAAGTGATTCCAAAGTTTGACTATTATTTAAAAAAATATTTTCCAGACTGTTGCAACCTTATACCAGGAAAAAGGAAAAGGCTAGCAAATAAAGTTTTATTGGAACACAACTTGTTTTCTTTTCTAAGTTTTTTTTATTGCAAGCTATCACAGCAGAATTGAGTAGTTGTGACAGATTTTTTTTAATTTAGGGTAACTTTTAAAATGGGGATGGCTGCAGCAGATACATAGACTTTCTTATGGCATTGCTATCTGTGTACCTTGACTAAAGCTATGCCACTTAAATTGCCATATTTCCTTAGTTTGGTGCCTGTTTATTACATGAATATAATTTTGGCATTGTCACTTTACATACAGATGTTGTGTGTGTGTGTGTGTGTGTGTGTGTGTGTTTCCAAAGTTCAAATAGTTTGGTCCTTTATAGAAAAGTTTTGCCTAGACCTGGGTCTAGAGTGTCAGCAGTTTATAATACTGTGTATGTGAAAGGGGAAAATTGAATGAGGAGAGGATGGAAGAGGAAGCATTGGCCAAAATTGGGTAAATGGAGGTCTATAATAGCTATGTCAGCACTCATCCTGGTAAGTTAGTTGAAAACAGAGTCAAAGGTTTTTACTTTTCTCACTTTATTTTTGAAACATTTTAGAATATTCTATTTAGCCAAGAGATCGTTATGATATTCTCCAGAACAAGATTGTTTTAATAAAACTAAAATATTACGCAACATTACAAAAGTCTGTCAGTCAAATCCAGTGCAGTGTTTTTCATAATTATGTAGTGAATGAATGAATTGTCTGATGAAAAGATCCTTCTGTAAATGTCAACCTATTTTGTTAGTTTCCAGGCACTTTTGTACACATTGTTTTGTTACCATTGTTCTAGGCTGCCTTAGGAATTGAGTTGGATGAAGAGTTAAATTCCACTGTAAGGCCTCATTGTATTTGCTGGAAACCTGCCATTAAAAATGGAAATTGCAGCTTGTGAATGGGGAAGGGTTTGCATTGATGCATGCCTGCAAACAGAGACACCAGCTGGCTTAAATGAAGTATAAATGTAGGTTCTAGGCAAACAAATGAGATTCTGTTGGAGGAGGCAGCATTTCACTTCAGATGTCATTTATATTGAACCAGAAGTGTTTTTTATATTTTGTGGTTATTTAGACAGCTGTTAAGTTACTTCTACTTTCTCAGTGGATTTGGCAAATAAACAGTTTTTAATGGATTTGTACTTGGGATTTTAAACCTGTATATTATTTAGGACTATATGTGTAGTTTCATTTATTTCATAATTCTATGAATTATGCATTTAAAAATCCTGTAAGCTGTGGCCATTAAAAGCAGAATGTAGTTGTATTCATTTATTGAGCTATTTTGTTTTGAAAGTAGAAAAATAAAGCCTAACTTCAGCACAGAAACACATTTGGGTAAACATGGCTAGATCAGAGAGGTTATCCCTGTAGATATAGATGCTATATCATGGTTGCCACGGAGATATAATCTCATGTAAAGGAGAATAATCTCTCTGCCCTTGAATGACATGGGGATATATATATATATATATATATATATATATATATATATATATATATATATACACACACACACACACACACACACACACTGTATTTTTCAGGTAGGTCTTTCCTAGGTGTGTTCAGGTAGACCCAGGAAGACAATGATAGCAATGCTTTTTTTTTTTTTTTTTTTTTTTTTTAATTGATTTTCCACAAAGGAAGGAAGAGGGATAGAGAGCTAGAAATGTCAATCAGAGAAACATGGACCAGCTGCCTCCTGCACACCCCCTGCCAGGGATGTGCCCACAATCAATGTACATGCCCTTGATCGGAATCGAACCTGGACCTTTCAGCCCGCAGACTGATGCTCTATCCACTGAGCCAAACCGGTTTCGGCAGCAATGCTTTTGGTTTGAAAGGTTGAGAATAAGATTCAGAGGAAGTGCCCACTTTTGTGTATTTTTCCTATTTGAATAGAAACTTCTGATTCTCCTTCAGAATATGGGGCTACCTTAAGTTTGGACCCCTTGGATAGTTGGTTTATGAAACTAGATAATGGTGCTGGGGCTGAGTCTTTTAAAATACTTATAACTGAACTAACCAGCAACTTGTGGTTCCTGCAGTCTTGGCCTTAACACTGCTAGTCCTGTGACTCACAGTATGTTCTCTATGAATAGGTGAAACCACAGTGAATTTCTTGCCTCTAAGAAGACTACCTACTTTAAAAAAGTATGAAGGGTGAAATACTTGTTGGAGCCTATATGAACCAGTCTGGCATTTGCAGATAGTAAAGAGGTCTTCACAAATGAATTTAGTTAAAGAGGTTTGATTTTATTGCTGAGTGTAGGGTTCTAGAATTTAACATTTCTCAGCTTATAAAATAACACACCTGAGAAATGTCATCAGTATAGCAGTCTTATAGTAATGAGACTTGCTAACAGGATTTGTTAACCTG